ATATACGAGGGTGACAACAGAGTCCGTTCTCTTAAAAATGACGTCACTTTTGGCCCGTATGCGTGCTATGGCCAAATTTGGACGTAATTTGAAATGAAATCGACTCAAAAAAGTGACGTACTGTCCCGTTTTCTCTCCGAGTCGTCCGGCTTACTCGGTAAGGTTTGAAGAGGAAACTTTCAATTAACGTTTTGAAACTTTATGAGAATTTCCTGCCCACCTAGCCTACCAGAGGACCCTTAACTTACTGTTGTTGAAAAAAAATCCCAAATTTATTTTCATTTTTTTTTCATTCTCTAATTACGTCCACTTTCGGCCATACTGGTAAACGGCCAAAAGCGACGTTATTTTTAAGAGGACAGGTTGACAACAGTCTGTTCTCTTCCCAAGTCAGTGGAAGGAAAAGCTGAACGATTTCCGCTTTCTTTAAGCTTCTCTGGCAAGTATGTTAATTCAAGCTGCACAGTGCTCAAATAGGAGTCATGTTCTCCCGTGGCCTACGGTTTACCAAAAAAGTCATAAGCTGTAGGAGATTGTACCCGTGATGAACAGGCATCAATGTGCACACTAAAAGACGAAATCGAACCTCTTGAACAAATCCACAAGGGCCGTGACGAGGATTCGAACCTGGGTCCGGAAGCATCCCAGACACTGCCTTAATCGACTGAGCTACGACAGGGTAGTCGTAGATCTACCCTTGTGGATTTGTTCATGTGATGCATCACGTTAGTGTGATCTCTGTGTATCGAACCTCTTACCTCCACTGTCTTGCCTGCACCCAATCACAACTGGGGCTTGCATCCCTTATCGAGCTCACAGACCTCCGCAACTCGGTCTATTTTCAATCCAGCTTGATCTTTTCACAAAGCATTGATAGAGCTCTTGTTCACATAGTATTTGGTAATGGTTCGTGGGGTAAATGAACCAAGTAGCTCGCCCAGAAATAATTCATTTATTATCTTGAAGAAATGGGGAGTGAGGGGTTAATTCATATTTAATTTTTCGAATTCTAAACTATTAGAGAACATCCAATGTGCAATGAATAAAGCGCAATACTGCAAGAATGTAATAAAGTTTTCTTCAATATAAATTAATTTCTTGAATTCTCGCAAATCCCTGTCGACCTGAAGAGCCAGGAGACAGTAGCCTTTTATATACCAAATGAACGTTGTCAAATTAACACTCTGCTTTCCGTATTGCAAAGTAACCCAGTGACCGTAGAAACTCATGATAAACCTACTCCAATGTAAGTAAAATCATTCTAGGTCGGTTACCTGAGTTACTCCCAATGTAACAAAGAGTTCCTAGTCATTTCTATAACCTAGAAGTCCTAGAGTGACTCATTTAGTGACTCTTTGAAGTCAGTCAGTCCCAGGGAGTACATCAATACTTAGGTTATAATTTGATTTACAGACGACTGGTTGAGTCCTTACAAGCATCGTCATAGTTAAGACGGCGGTCATTATCTTCAAGATGTCTTCGATCACTATAGGGTCCTGCGGAACAGTGAAAGACAGTCGTTTTCTACTGATCATCATCATCCTCTTTTTTTCAATTTTTTTCAAATTATATTATTCCTTCTCCATTTATTTACGGATTGTTTTCTAATTATACTAATTCTCTTCTTCTTCTTTTTTTGCAAAATCCTCCGTTTATTTTTCCTAGTCTTCGTCTTATGAATTAGTCATCTAATGACATTTTCATTTTAACTCGTGTTTCGTTAGTTAATGTTCGTCACTTGCACCAGTCCTTGATTATCTTACAAATTTTCCTAATATGTTAAATCTGGGCATTATTTAACTATTCCTTCTCTCTTTTTTTTCCCCCCAAACTCTCACCTTTTCTAACATTTATATCTTTCAGCAGTCATCTCTTTTTATCAATTTTATCAATCAGTATTATTTTTCTTTTCATTTATTATCTTGTTCTCATCATCATTTATTATTTCATCATTTTTTGTAACAAATTATGTCTCATCATTCGCAGACTCATCAAATCAATCCACGTGTGAATATTAATATCTCTTTTGTTTGTTTAAATTCTTGTTTATCTGTTCTTCTCCAGCCTTACCAGTCTTTCTGATAATCTTACCAGTCATGGATAATCTTTACGTCCCAATCCTCAGACTGGGCCTTGACGGCTGAGTGGACAGCGCTCTGTATTCGTAATCCTAATGTTCCGGGTTCGATTCCTGGCGGAGCCGGAAACAGATGGGCAGAGTTTCTTTCACCCTTATGCTCCCGTTCATCTTAGACAGCTGCTACGGGCTGTTTACTGGGGATGTGTAACAAAAATGGAGGCCTGATCGAAGACCGGGCCGCGGGGATGCCAAGCCCTGAAATCATCTCAAGATAACTTCAAGATAGCCTCTCAAGGGTGTCTTGAATACACAAAAATATATCTTTGAGCTTACTGAACGTCAGGCTCCTTGTTTCGAAAGACGTTTTTCTTCAATCTTTCTAATCAAGCGCATGTCTAAGAAGGCCTCAATGTAATCTTTTCTCTATCATGTTGCTCTTTTTTGGGTCTGAGTTTTGAAATGTCTCACGAAATTCATTCATGGGTTTCTTTACCCCTTTCCTCTAATGGGCGAATTGCTGTATGTCTTGAGGTCATCTTGAGGTGATTTCGGGGTTTTAGTGTCCCCGCTGCCCGGTCCTCGACCAGGCCTCCATCCCCAGGAAGCAGCCCGTGACAGCTGACTAACACCCAGGTACCTATTTTACTGCTAGGTAACAGGGGCATAGGGTGAAAGAAACTCTGCCCATTGTTTCTCGCTGGCGCCCGGGATCGACCCCAGGACCACAGGATCACAAATCCAGCGTGCTGTCCGCTCGGCCGACCGACTCCCTAATGTCAGGAAGATTTAAAATATATTTCATGGACTTGAAATGAGAATACAACATTGTTTCTTACTAGCATTCGTTTCATTTATGACCGCTTTCTAAATAGCTAATGTTTGCTTTCTAATTTGCTTTCTAATTAGCAAATTAGCAAACCTGTCACTAATTAGCAAATGTTGGTCTCTTTATGTGGTCTTAAGTCCACCTGCTCTATAGGGCATTAGGGGCCCCTTGCTCTGTAGGGCTTTAGGGGCCCATTGCTCTGTAGGGCTTTAGGGGCCACTTGCTCTGTAGGGCTTTAGAGGACCCTTGCTCTGTAGGGCTTTAGAGGACCCTTGCTCTGTAGGGCTTTAGAGGTCCCTTGCTCTATAGGGCTTTAGAGGCCCATTGCTCTGTAGGGCTTTAGAGGCCCATTGCTCTGTAGGGCTTTAGAGGCCACTAGCTCTGTAGGGCTTTAGAGGCCACTAGCTCTGTAGGGCTTTAGAGGCCACTAGCTCTGTAGGGCTTTAGAGGCCACTAGCTCTGTAGGGCTTTAGAGGCCACTAGCTCTGTAGGGCTTTAGGGGCCCTTGCTCTGTAGGGCTTTAGGAGCCCCTTGCTCTGTAGGGCTTTAGGAGCCCCTTGCTCTGTAGGGCTTTAGGGGCCCCTTGCTCTGTAGGGCTTTAGGAGCCCCTTGCTCTGTAGGGCTTTAGGAGCCCCTTGCTCTGTAGGGCTTTAGGAGCCCCTTGCTCTGTAGGGCTTTAGGAGCCCCTTGCTCTGTAGGGCTTTAGGGGCCTCTTGCTCTGTAGGGCTTTAGGGGCCCTTTGCTCTGTAGGGCTTTAGAGGTCCTTGCTCTGTAGGGCTTTAGAGGCCTCTTGCTCTGTAGGGTTTTAGAGGCCACTAGCTCTGTAGGGCTTTAGGGCCCCTCTTGCTCTGTAGGGCTTTAGGTGCCAACCACAACAGCTTACTGACCTGCCAGCAAGTATTCATTAGCCCCTAACTATAGTCAACAAGTAAACTCTCAGTGTATTTGCACCGACAAATACAAGTATACACCTCTCAGTATCATGACATTTGGCTGGTCTTTTCAATTAAATACAGTTGTATAAATTATATACAGTTGTATAAATTATATACAGTTGTATAAATTATATACAGTTGTATAAATTATATACAGTTTTATACATTATATACAGTAGGATAAATTCTCATTACAGCTTGATTTTTTTTAACAAATTGTCTATACTTTGTTGATATAAGTGTAGGTGTTTGTCCATTTTACTTGTTGCTTTTGCAGATGACACTTAATTATTTGTTGTTAATAGGTTGGCGTTTGCATCAACTCTGATAACGTGACGAAACATTGTGAACTCTTGCGATAGAATCGGTATTAATTAATCATTGCCTTTTCTTGTGATATCAGTGTCGTATTTTATGTTCACGTTTGTACACAATACATCGTTCACCTCCTGGTTGGCGAGGCCTCTTGGGGAAGATAGAAGAGTCCTTTGGTAAAGAAGAAAGCAACGTCTTGCTCATCTAGAGGAAGATGTTGGCACGTCTTGTTCTTGTAGAGGAAGATGTGGGCCCGTCTCGTTCATCTAGAGGAAGATGTGGGCACGTCTCGTTCATCTAGAGGAAGATGTGGGCACGTCTCGTTCATCTAGAGGAAGATGTGGGCACGTCTCGTTCATCTAGAGGAAGATGTGGACACGTCGTATTCTTGTAGAGGAAGATGTTGGCCCATCTTCATCTTTTTGGGGAAAGAAGAGGCAACGTCTTTAGATGTTACCTCAGCATTTTTTTTGTCCTAAACTCCGCTAAAGATTAGATCCATTATTATTTTATTTTCTTGTCTGATTTCATTCGTCTTCACTGTCTACTATTTTCTCTGGCTGTACTTCTCGTGATCCAAATAATAATTACCTTTAATATTTCAACACAAACAGGCTAATGTGTAGGTTTATGGTGCCTTTGAGAATAATGGCAGCGTCACTCAGTTTGGTGAGGTTAATCACCGATTGGTCTGATCAGAGGTTGGATTGGTAATTGGGCAGAAGTTTCCCAGTAAATCCTCTAAATTATATATATTGATTATATAAAAAATGTCTATAACGCTGCGAGTGATGATCAATAATATATGGAATCTTTAGTAACAGATCATTCTTCATTCATTCCTTCACCCGTTGCAACATGTATCATTGACGAGGATGCCAGGCTGCTGGGAGATGGGTGGGCGGGGGGAAGATGCAGCCTCCGCGCCGACTCTTTCACTCTCACGCGAGATCACTGCTAATACTGTTGAAAAATCTACCTCTTCGGCCACAGAGCTTTTGTACTTGGCAGCATTATGCTCCTGGTTCTTGGTTGTGGTTCTTGGTGGTGGTCCTTGGTGGTGGTCCTTGGTGGTGGTCCTTGGGTGTGGTCCTTGGTGGTGGTCCTTGGGTGTGGTACTTGGTGGTGGTCCTTGGGTGTGGTACTTGGTGGTGGTCCTTGGGTGTGGTCCTTGGTTGTGGTCCTTGGGTGTGGTTCTTGGTTGTGGTACTTCGGGGTGGTCCTTGGTTGTGGTCCTTGGGTGTGGTTCTTGGTTGTGGTCCTTGGTTGTGGTCCTTGGTTGTGGTCTTTGGTTGTGGTCCTTGTGGGTGGTCCTTGGTTGTGGTCCTTGGGTGTGGTTCTTGGTTGTGGTCCTTGGTTGTGGTCTTTGGTTGTGGTCCTTGGTTGTGGTCCTTGGTTGTGGTCCTTGGGTGTGGTCCGTGGTTGTGGTCCTTGGGTGTGGTCCGTGGTTGTGGTCCTTGGGAGTGGTCCGTGGTTGTGGTCCTTGGGTGTGGTCCGTGGTTGTGGTCCTTGGGTGTGGTCCTTGGGTGTGGTCCGTGGTTGTGGTCCTTGGGTGTGGTCCGTGGTTGTGGTCCTTGGGTGTGGTCCTTGGGTGTGGTCCGTGGTTGTGGTCCTTGGAAGTGGTCCGTGGTTGTGGTCCTTGGGTGTGGTCCGTGGTTGTGGTCCTTGGGTCTGGTCCTTGGCCCAACAGCCTTTGAAACATTCAGCTTGAACAGATTTTTTTTGACCGCATCACTGGTGAGGTAAATTTCCTCCAAGGTTGTTCGGTTTGCCTCCTCATTTAATGCAGGGACCTCTCCTTGTTCTATTGTGAAAACCTCCTGGAATCTCTTGTTGAGTTCTTCACACACCTCTTTGTCGTTCTCTATGTATCTGTTCTCCCCTTTTCTCAGTTTCATCACGTGTTCCTTCACTGCTGTTTTTCTCCTGATGTGGCTGTGGAGCAGCTTTGGTTGGGTCTTGGCTTTACTCGCGATGTCATTTTCGTTCTGTCTCTCTGCTTCTCTCCTCACTCTGATGTACTCATTTCTGGCCCTCTGGTATCTCTCCCTGCTCTCTGGGGTTCTGTTGTTCCTGTAGTTTCACCATGTTTTTTTTACTCAATTGCTTCGCTGCTGCGCATTCCTGGTTGAATGTCGCATTCCCCAGATTCTTCTGTTGCTCTTCATTTTTTACTTTATGGACTGGGATAAACCTGTCTGCAGCTTCCTGACACTTCTGAGTGACATAATCCATCATATCCTGTACAGTCTTTTCTCTGAGTTCTGTTTCCCATGGTATTCCCATTAGGAAGTTCCTCATCTCGTCATATTTTCCTCTTCGGTAATTTAGTCTTTTTCCTTCCAATCCCATCCTTGGATAGGTTATCCCTACTTCTACCAGATACTCGTATATCAATACACTGTTGTTACTCTTTCCTATGGGGCTTCATATTTGACTTTCCTTATTTCTGAGCCTTTTAAGGTGAAAATCAGGTCGAGTTTAGCTGGTCCGTCATTTCCTCTCATTCTTGTGGGCCCTTTGACATGTTGGCTCAGAAAGTTCCTTGTACTCACTTCCAAAAGTTTAGATCTCCACGTGTCTTCACCTCCATGTGGGTCCCCATTCTCCCAGTCTATCTTTCCATGGTTGAAATCGCTCATGATTAGGAGTCTGGATCCATTCCTGCAAGCAACTGAAGCTGCTCTCTCTATTATGTTAATGGTAGTCATGTTGTTTCTGTCGAACTCTTGTCTGGGTCTTCTGTCATTTAATGGAGGGTTGTAAATGACTGCCACTATTATCTTAGGTTCACCCATTGTCATAGTTCCTGTTACGTAATCTCTGAATCCGTCGCAGCCCGGAATTTCCATCTCTTCAAAGCTCCAGTCTTTCCTTATCAGCAGAGCCACCACTCCTCCTCTCCCGTCTCTCTCTTTCCTTACTATATAAAAGTCCTTTGGAAACACAGCATTTGTTATGACTCCTGACAATTTTGTTTCTGTGAGTCCTATTACATCTGGGTTTTCTTCCTGCTCCCTTTTTGCCAGTTCACTTGCTTTGTTGCTAATCCCATCGATGTTTGAGTACATTACTTTGAAGATCACTTTCCTATGTCCATTTTCAGCCACCCTCCCCACTAGTGCAGGAAGCTGTTCCATGGGAATTGCTGCTTGGGTAGGTTCATCCTCCTGTGGGGTAGTTACCAGGGGTTCTGAGGGAGGTGGGGTGGAGGGGAAGGAGGGGGCAGGGGAAGGATGGTTAGAACTGGGGTGGGGGGATGGAGGACTTAGTTCGTGTCTGGGCCCGCTTGAGGCAGGAGGAAGACCAGGGGGTGGGAGAGAAGGGGGTACTTGGGGTAGGGAGGGTGGAATTGGGTGGAATGGTGGAACTCCCCACCTATAGGGTGGTGAGTTGGGATGTTGTAGTCCCCTCTGGGGTTCCCGAGGTGCTGGGTTGGGGTTCCACACTCCCCCCTGGCATTGCTGGGTTCGGGGTTGAGGTTCCCTGGCTCCCTCCCCTCAGCCTGCGCCTTTTCCTTGCATCTGCTGTCTGTATTATCTCTGTCCTGGACATGTCCCTCTGAAGGAATACCTGAATAATTCGTTACATATTTCAGTTTGCTCTTTTTTGCTAGTATGTCCTCTTTGATGCACTCGTTTTTTAGCACTACCTTGATCAACCGGTCTTTGTCTTTGTTGTACTGGCCAATCCGGAAAAACTTTTCTATGTTTCAGCCCTTTCCAGACCTCCTTTAGTATCCCTGCTACTGCAGCTTTGTCCTTAGACGTCCATTCTTCCCTTGTGGAACCCTCTTGTTCCTTAACACCTATCACTACTACAGCTCTTTTCCTTTCCAGTAACTGACTCGTGCATCTAGCTGCCTCCTGTGAGGTTACTGCTTTCATTACAACTTCCTTGACTGTGGACATTCCTCCTTGGGTCCTTCAGCATTTCAGCAAAGGTGGCACCCATTGTAGGGGTCCCTGTCATTGCTACATCTCCTGGTCCCCTGGGCCACAGTCTGATGCGATCCTTTTTTTAGGTTATCTCTTCTTGCGCTGCCTTTAGTTCATTCTGCAGTGTATTTATGAGTCCTCTCATGTCTTTCAGTTCCTGAGTGATTTCCCTCCATGCGCGAACAGTCATCTCCATGTATGACTCGTCCTGTTCCTCTCCTCCACCTGTGTTCTGTTTTCTTATCATCCTGCTTGATCCCTTTTCTTTTCCCTAGCGTTTGTTAGTCAACACTAACCCCAGTGTGTGTGTGTGTGTGTGTGTGTGTGTGTGTGTGTGTGTGTGTGTGTGTGTGTGTGGGCAGAGAGGAGGGGGAAGAGGAAGGAGTGGGAGAGAGAGGAAGGAGAGGGGGAGAGAGGAAGGAGAGAGGGGGAGAGGAAGGATAGAGGAAGGGGAGGGAGATAGAGGAAGGTGAGGGGGAGAGAGAGGGAGGGTAGGGAGAGCGAGGGTAGGGAGAGCGAGGGAGGAGAGGGAGAGAGGAGGAGAGAGGGAGATCGGGAAAGAAGGAGAGAAAGTGTGGGGAGTGGGAGGGGGGGGGGAAGAGTATTGCGTTAGTGAGATGGGGGGGTAAAAGAGGGGGTGGATTATGAGTGAGGTCTTATCCCCTTTCCACGAAAGGTGTTAATCCTTTCTAGCCTAACTGGACGTTTGTGTTTGTGTGTGTGTTTGTTTTTGCGTGTGCGTGCGTGTGTGCTTGCAAACGTACGTGTGCGCGCTTGCAAACGTACGAGTGCGTGCGTGCGTGTGTGTGTTACGGGGGTCCCGTAAATGTCAACCTCTACCCAAAATGAGCCACTTTGAGATTTTAAATGTATATGATATACTGAACAAGAACTTGATAATATTTTACCTCTGTACACCTGAAGAATTGACGAGAGAGGGGTACCTACCTGTCAGCCTCCCGCTCACACAACTAGGTGAGTGATCCGTCGTCGCCTCCCACGTGGTGATTCACTAATCCAGTAGATTGGTGATGGCGGTTCTTCTCTATCTAACACAAATCTCTGGAATCAGTCACTGTATCGGTATGTCTGTTGTGTTACAGTTCGCCAATTCACTGTACCACTGATCACTTGACCCAATATGTAAACAAAGCCTTGTGGGCCCTCCCACGTGGCCTGTCTTGTGAACACAAAGTTCTAGTGATATCACTGTATTTTTCTTACCTATTCGCGGCGGTTATACGCTTTGTGGTACCCTTAGATCTGTTAGCTGTCCCTGTAGCCTTAATTAACCCCAAAATATTGGCGTGTATTGTAGCGTGTGACCCCAGCGACCACCCAAGGACCTTGGGTGTGGTCCTTGGGTGTGGTCCTTGGGTGTGGTCCTTGGGTGTGGTCCTTGGTTGTGATCCTTGGGTGTGGTCCTTGGTTGTGATCCTTGGGTATGGTCCTTGGGTGTGGTCCTTGGGTGTGGTCCTTGGGTGTGGTCCTTGGGTGTGGTCCTTGGGTGTGGTCCTTGGGTGTGGTCCTTGGGTGTGGTCCTTGGGTGTGGTCTTTGGTTGTGGTCCATGGTTGTGGTCCTTGGTTGTGGTCCTTGGTTGTATCTAGTGTTCATATTTGAGAATGAATGACGGAATGCCCGTCACTTGTTAGAGGTTAATTACCAGGGATTTCAAGTTCATTTAACTAATAATTTGTATTAATTCCTTTGTGCTCTTTGTGAGAAAACATTTCAGTCTTCAGACTGCTTCAGTGTGCTATTATGTGTATACCTTCTACAAATGCTTCCACAGTATCTAGTACTGTGTCTGGGTTTTCCATTTTAATGACTTCAATTGTCTTAATTTCTGCAGTTGGGCTCTTTCTCGCTCTCGAGAAATCCCTCCATATATTTCCAGTTTTTTTTATGAGTTCTTTGGTTACATATGCTGCCTACTAACACCTTTCTTCCTTCTCTCATATATTAATGTTTTAGGAGTCCAGTGTGAGATCTTAGGAAGTTCTGTCTCTCAAGCTCTAACGTTTTAAGTTAGGAATTCTTTGTTAAGCCGTGATTGTTTAAGGTGTTTGAATGATTTTAATCATTAATGTAAAAATTGGGTTGGATATAACCTCGGAGCCTCCAAACTCCTTGTAAGTTCGAGTAGATTTCAGGTTGTGTTGCTGTATTTTTTTTAGCACATCGTTGTGTAGTGGGTAATATGCGCGTCTGGGGTGACCCACGACGAGAGTTTGAGTCCGCCGGCCTGCTCCAGGGGGGGGGGGTTCTCGTAGATACATCACCATATTGTGATTTCAATGCGAATGTTCTCTCCTGGTTGCACTCTGATAGCTGAGAGTAATTGACACTCATTAGTGTAGGTAGATGTTCAATTTTCACACCCAAGCTCTTTAATCTTTAATTAATTTAACCAATAGCATCGAGTCTGTCTGGTTTTGTGAACTGTTGTATGGGATTTGATATACAGATTTACGTCTGTCTTTCATAAACAGTGTTCGAGGAGTCTTTTTACATAGTGCCATTAATGTGTGTTTACCTTTTCGATGTGTGGATGGTAAATCTTTTCAATTAGTGTTTATGGTAATGAACTGTTATATACTCGTCTTTGTCACTAATTATTATTTAATATCTTCTTTAATTTATGTGGGGAAATGCATTTTAAAAATAGGCTGTTACTGCTTCCATATTCTTTCGAAAATTGACAAGTACAAATCATAATTGTAACTGATATTTCTTACGCATTTAAGTTGTGTCAATAGTTGC